AAACTCTAGGCATTTGTCCTGCACATGCAATGTGCAGGTAAAGTAGTTGAATATAAAAGAATTTATTGAAGGAAAGAATGGTAAATTATATTAAAGTGCTAACTATTTATTGTATGATTATATAATGCAGTCAATCAATGATGTAATAATTAAATAATACCAACGAATAAATTCATCTTTAATTGATATCACATTTACATAAATGTATTGGAAAATTGAATTGGAAAACTATTATTATAATGACAATGCAAAATAAAAAACGATTGTTTACGACTTATTAGAAGCATTTATTCAATATAGAATCAATTATTCTTATTACAAGAACTCGTTCAGAAAATTAAGAAATTACAGATAACTTTGTTGTCGAACGAAATAATCACTAATTATTACATAATAATCTTTTAAAAAGAATTTTTTTTCTCCTTCAATATTGTACTGATGATACTATTTCGCGATGTAACAAAATTATAAATTCCAAAAATCAATTTCATATTATATAAGTACGTTTAGGCATACCTACATAGAAAATTTTTTAAATATCTAAAACTGAATGTATTCTAAAACGATAACATTAAATAATAACAGATCTCATCGCCAATTTAATGTGAATGCTTTGTCTCAATATAAGTAATTATGATCAAATGTATAATTAATTTTCCACTTAACTGTAAGTAATCATTGTAGCTTTATTTTTAATGATATTTAGAGATAACAAGATAAACAAATAATATTATGATTTAATATACTGCATATTCCAGATATCACAAAAAGTTCTAACAGAATTCGATCATTAATTCTAAGTTTGTTTTTAGATACGAAGAGAATTCTTTTTATGAAAAATTAAAAAAAAAATTCTAAAAAATGAACTCAGAATTGATGACATACGATTGAATTTTTTTAAACTTTCTGTGTTATCTGCGACATTACACATACAATGTTATGAAATTTTTTTACATTTTTTTAAATTATATCAAAAATTAAAATAAAAACAGAAAAATTATTTAAATAATTATTTTTTACAGTTGCAAATACTAAAATGTTAAGTCACCATAATTTGCAAGTAAACGTTTTCTTATCACGCACTTTTACGCAACATATTTACTAGACATCAACACTAAAAAAAATATTCATTCTCCATTTGCTTTATAATGTTTGCTTAACACGCTTTTGAAACTTTCTTTATGCTACATTTTACAATATTGTATAATAATTTGAGAGAGATATTTAAATTTTGATTGTATTGTGAAACAAAGGAAAAATACAAATGGTGTATCATTTATAAACATATTATAACATATTATAATCATATGTACTCTATACACACACACACACACACACACACACACACACAAAATATATATGTATATTGTATAATAAATATGTATATCATACAAATTTATTTATATAATCTATTGAAATTCTCATTAATCACATCCTTTACATATATTAACGAAATTAGCTGTGCATAAATAAGAATTAATTATAATATAGTTATATTACAATGTCAAATGCACATCCCATAATTCATGAATTAGTATATATTATCTAAATCATTGCGCGATTTATTGCTTTTCCATCAATGATTCAGTAAATTATATGGCAAAATACAGCATCTAAATTATTTATTAACTAATATCCATTGAAGGAAGACTCGGAAAGGAATATCCGATGTTATATATAGAATATTATATATAAATTAAGATATACATATTTATAAAATTACTATTTATAAAACAGAAA